TATCTATAGCTCTTTATGCTGGTTGGGATCTCTGGTTTTAAGCTTCCTTCTGTCAAACATCTTTAAAAAAAACTTGTTTTCACCTTTAATGTTTCTGTAAAACTCATTTTGAAACATTTGGCTCCAATACTGAAACAGTAGCTTTAAAAGGACAGAATATTTTCTGAATAATTGGTGGCTCTTCATTGGAGGCTTTAACCACTGCTAGAGGTTAAGCCCATGAATCTGGGTTGAGTTTGCAGATGAATATAGATGTTTTTCTATCATGCTGAAGAAGGAAGGAAGGAGAGAGCAGAAGCTACCCTCAAACACACCCACAGGGACTAGTCCTCCCCTCCCCCCTCCCTTTAGTTGGGTGGTTTATAAAGACAATGCAGTACTAGATAGCAGACATGAAGGGACTAAATTCAAAATTACTCTTTTGGTCATAGTTTTCCAACTAAATTAACATTAAAGGAAATATATGAATATTACGATTATATTAATGCTTAGTAAAAATGAGTTTGTTTTAGCTTTATAAACAATGGCTCATAAAACACCAGAAATGACCAGAAACTATAATAAGCAGAAAATTTAGGCCTTGAAACTTTTCCCCCTAACTTTGCCAGAGCTGTTGAACTCTGCTTTAGAAAGGTGAGTTCCAGGAAAGTTTAGTCCAGGTTGTGTTGCTGGGTGGGTCTGTGTTCAGAGGGCCCAGCTAAGGCTGGTAGTTTCCTCTGGGATGCTTCATGCTTCCAGTCTCTGATATCTCCTGGTTATGTCTGTAAACTCTCAGAGAAATGTTGCAGAAAGTCTGTTTTGCTGAATCTGGTTCTGAGGTTAGTCACTGAGCCATCTTATCTTTTTGAGCCCTGCAGGAGATTTTCCCAGTGCAGTGCTCCTGCAGAGCTACCAGGGCAAAGGGAGTAGGGTAGGGTGGGACGTGGGGTGGTGTATGTGGACGACAGCCTGGCGTGACCCTGTGACAGGTTTCAGAGAGTATTTAGAGCGGGGGTGGTGAGGTCAGCATGGATATTGGTCCCCAGTGTCCAGTAATGATATAACAGATTATGATACAAAACTTTTATAAAGTATATATATAATAAATATAATGTGAAAGCAGACAGCATCTAAAGTAAGTTACAGTCTATTAAATGTTAACATAAGGTTTAGATTAAATCTGCTTAATGTGAATCTGGAGTAATGGGCTGTAGTCCAAATTTGTTTCTTTAGGTTTTATTTCAGTTTGACTTCATCAACATGTGGTGTTTCTCACATTACTGGTTGGTTCAGAGAATCAGAGGGAAGTAATGAACCAGTTGGTCTCCCTCTTTGTTTCTCACCGTGACCCAAATTTGGAACAGATCCTCCCCTCAACACTCCTCTGTTATGCTCTATGCAAACATCAGTCGGCGGCCCCTTCTGAACCTGTTCCTGAACCGCAGTCGGTGGTTACCTCAGAGCCTGTTCCTGAGCCGCAGTCGGCGGTCACCTCTGAGCCTGTTCCTGAGCCGCAGTCGGCAGCCCCATTATGAGCCTGTTCCTGATCCGCAGTCGGCGGTCATCTCAGAGCCTGTTCCTGAACCGCAGTCGGCGGCNCCCATTATGAGCCTGTTCCTGATCCGCAGTCGGCGGTCATCTCAGAGCCTGTTCCTGAACCGCAGTCGGCGGCCTCCTCTGAGCCTGTTACTGAGCCGCAGTCGGCGGTTACCTCAGAGCCTGTTCCTGAGCCGCAGTCGGTGGTTACCTCAGAGCCTGTTCCTGAGCCGCAGTTGGCGGTCACCTCTGAGCCTGTTCCTGAGCCGCAGTCGGCAGCCCCATTATGAGCCTGTTCCTGAACCGCAGTCAGCGGTCACCTCTGAGCCTGTTCCTGAGCCGCAGTCGGCGGCCTCCTCTGAGCCTGTTACTGAGCCGCTGAAGAGGGGACGGCGTTCCCCTTGGGGCTACCTGCTGAAACTGGGGCATCGTCCTCCTCCGAGGTTACTGCAGCGGCGGAGATGTCGTCCTCCTCCGAGGATTCTGCAGCAACGAAGACGTCGTCCTCCTCCGAGGTTCCCGCAGCGGTGGAGATGTCGTCCTCCTCTGAGGTTCCTGCAGCGGCGGAGGTGTCGGTCTTCTCCGAGGATCCTGCAGCAACGGAGACGTCATCCTCCAATGACCCTCCTACGTCGCCTGACCCACGGTCAGCCGCCAGAACGCCTGCCTTGCCTCCGACCCTACCGTCAGTCTCCAAAGACTCTGCCTCATCCCCGGCCCCACGGTCAACCTCCAGAGACTCCGCCTCGCTTCTTAACCCAACGGCCGGCCTCCTGAGCGTCAGCTTCGCCTCCGGCCCCACGGCCGGCCTCCAGAGCTTCTGCCTCGTCTCCGGTCCTGCGGCCAGCCTCCAGAACGTCTGCCACGTCTTCGGCCCTGTGGCCTGCCTCCAGAACGTCTGCCACGGCTCCAGGCCCCCCTGAGGGTTTTTTTTTTTTTTTTTTTTTTTTCTTGGACTGATCTGGGGCGTCTGGAATCCGCCCTTGAGGGGGGGCACTGTTGGAATCCGGAGGTTTGCCCACCAGAGGGTGCCGAGGATCCCTTCCTGAGGGCTTCTGCTGTCTGTTGGGATCCAGAGGCTTTCCCACCAGAGGGCGCCAAGGATCCCTTCCTGAGGGCTTGTGCTCACCTGCAACACCTGTCTTTCATCTCCTCATCAGCCTTGGGCCTACTTAAGGAGGAGGAGACTAACACTCCAACGCCACAGTGTTTGCCAGTAACGGTTAGCAAAACCTGAGCCAACCTGCCTGTCTAAGTCTTCTTACTTGTGTGATCTGAACCTGATCCTGTTGTCTCTCTCCTGAAACTTTGGAGAGTTTCTCTGCCAGTGATCAGTCTGCCTGCTCTCTGTTGAACTCTGGAGGGCTTCCTCTGTCAGCATCTGCCTGCCCGCCCTCAGAGGAAAATTAGGAGAGAGACTTTGTCTGTGATCTGCCTGCAAGCACAAAGTAAGCCCTGCACTCTGACCGTCTCAACCCAGCTCTCAAGAGAGAGAGAGAGAACCAAACCTGGAGTCTGCCAGCCTGCACTCTGACCATCTCAGCCCAGCTCTCTAGAGAGAGAGAGAGAGAGCTCATCAGAAATCAGCCTACCTGCACTCAGACTGCCTCTGCCCAGCTCTCAGTTTTCCTCCTGCCTGCACTGTGTTCCCAACCTGGAACCTGCCCGCCAGCACTCAGACTGCCTCTGCCCAGCTCTCAGCTCTCCTCCTGCCTGCACTCTGTTCTCAACCTGGAACCTAACTGCCGGCACTCAGACCGCCTCTGCCAAGTTCTCAGTTCTCCTCCTGCCTGCACTCAGCTCTGCTAGCCCTNCTGTGTTCCCAACCTGGAACCTGCCCGCCAGCACTCAGACTGCCTCTGCCCAGCTCTCAGCTCTCCTCCTGCCTGCACTCTGTTCTCAACCTGGAACCTAACTGCCGGCACTCAGACCGCCTCTGCCAAGTTCTCAGTTCTCCTCCTGCCTGCACTCAGCTCTGCTAGCCCTCAGCCCTCGGCCTGTCAACTGCCTCTGGACCAACAAGGTTCCCCCCTCTCTGCAGCTCTGCTCCTCTCAAGATCAGCAGTGAACCAATTCCTGACCAGTCTCCCTAACCTTGGACCTGTCCTCATTAATATACATCTTTGTAAATAAACCTTTGAACTTTTTCCCTGCCCCCGAGTTGTTCTGCATATGGGCTAGATTCCATAACCCATCATGACAGGTTTATTGATTCTTTACCCTCTTTGAAATAGCTAGCAGTGAAATAGACATCAGGATTCGACTAAATTCCACATCATCATGTCAAGATGAAATATGGACACAGCTAAGTTGTCGCTGCTGTTCAGCTAATCAGCACAGCTAAGCTGTCGCTGCTGTTCCTGGGTTCCAATAAAAATTGTACATTAAAATACAAAACAACACAATAGAACAGAGAACACAATATAGTTCATAGCTTTCTGTAAATGTACCTTTTTGATTGATAAAAGCTTTATGTTGTGATTAAAACCTCTTTGTTTTCACCTTGTCTGTTTTGGTTTCTGGGATCATGTTCCATAAATGTGTTGCTCTTTATATAAATGTCTTATTAAAGCTATTTGATATTAGCTCAGGTTAAGCTTGTAGCAGCTGGTATTCCAGGATGGTCTCCCATCCATGTAATTACCAAGCCTGATGCTGCTTAGCTTCTATGATCAGAACAGGAACAGGCTTGCAGAGAGCAGTATGGCCATAAGCATTGGATTAAAGAAAAAGAAAAGTCTGATAATTTTGCTTATTGTTGCTGATTCGAAGATTCTGGTTAAAGATTTTTTTTTTCACTTTGCAGTTCTAATATTTTTTCAGCAAAGCCAATAACCCATTGAATATTCTGTCCTGTACTGAAAGCCACTTTAGTCGACTCAGCATGACTTTGTTTCTGGTTCCATCATCAAAGCAGAGCACCATCCCAGCTGCTCCATTCTCTACGGGTTATAACCTCTTTAACTCTTTCTCTGCATCATTTGACCAGATGACTGGACAATAGTCTAAAACTGCAGACCTCTGCAGGTCAAACTCAACTTTCTCTGCTCAGTTTGAAGTTAATTCCAGCAGCATTCATCTAAAGCCACATGGTTACTTGTTCACTGACAGAATAATGTTAGATGTTTTCTTAGTCTTCATGCTTGATCAGGACTATTGAGACAAATAAACTGCTGTGATGAGAAGCTGGATCTGATTTTCTGTAACTGGTTTCTTCTACTGAATTTAATTATGATTTGATTATTTATTTTCCTCTGTTTGATGTCCTTTCATTTTTTTAAATCAACAGCTAAACTTCAATTTCTTTCTTTCTTAACCTAAGTAGACCTGTAATTAATTTAGTTTTCCAGCAGATGGCGATCTCTGACCCTGTTTGACTTCATCATCCAACCTTCAACTCCAATAAAATTCCTTCTGCTTCATTTACTTTAATTTAGAAAAAAGTGCAGAAACAAGCAGAAAGTCGACAGAGGGAAGCTGATGAAATGGCCGCTTCAGCTGATATTTCCAACTCAGGTCAGAAATCTTTTTATAAAACTTTCCCTTAAACTTTATCCTGTTTGGATTATAATCTGGTAAACTCTTATTTTAGTAAATAAATATGTTAAAATAGAGACTTTGACTTTAAACAGAGCATGACGGTGAAACAAAATGGCTCCCTCTGCTTTACTAGATTTTCTTATTTTAGGTTTTCAGTCATGGTAACACAATTTTTTTTTTATTGTTCTAATAGAAATGTTAATCTAGAAATTCTGTTGTCTGATTGTCTAATTAAAGTACATGTTTATAAACTGTGTGATAAAATAAAGCCTTACCTCTCTTAACAGCACTGAGCCGCCCTGCTACAGAACTGAGGATTGTGTTGATAGGAGGAAGATCAGGTCACATTTCCAGTGGTAAAAGCTCAGCTGGAAACATCATCCTGGGTCACAATGTTTTTGACACCAGCA